GCGCCTCTAAATCCGCCACTGGGTTAGGAGTCATTTAGTTTAATTTCATCAGGGCAGAATACGTCTTCTGTTAACCTATCTGTTACAGATTTGGCCTCAAATCGTTTAGAAGCTTGAGAAACTGCTCAGACTTGCTATTAACACAGAAATGTTTTCCGTATCGCCAATCATTTAATTGGATTCAATAGAATATTAGAAGATTAAAACTAAAATTCAAGAAATTTTGTTAATTAAAATGAAACGATACCAATAGGTAAGCAGTAATAAGCTAATGGAAAAATCGCTGAAATGAATGAGGTGAGATGTCATCGTGTACTTGAAGTATACACATACATATTGACATTTAATATGGAATATTTTAGTTCAAAAGGAAAGTGTTGATAATAAATTAACTTTTAAGAAAAATTGATCACAAACGACAATTGTGATCAGGTATATGTGTAGCCAGGTGTGTTGGTTATTGTGCATTAGGCTGGTTTCTCTGAAGCGCGGTTATATTAAGTAATATGTGGCAGTTTCTCTGAGCAGTCCTCTTTGGCTGGTTACAGAATGCGTATAAAAGGGCAGCAGTTCTGCAGAATAAGTCTCTATATTTCGGCAATGTCCAGTCAGAAGAGTGTGATATTTTGCAGACTCGATCTTAGCTGACCTTACGGTATGTGAACTAACGGCAGCAACTTGCCACACTATTGTTGCATTATGCCAGAATGGACAGAAGCAAACTGCTATTGCCAGACAGCTGAATTTGTCCCAGGGAGCAGTTTCTAACGTCTTACAGAAACTCGCCCAGACTGGTGCATTAACACAGAGACCACGGCCAGGACGTCCTAAAGTCACCACCAGAAAGGAAGACCGCTTGTTTCTGCGGTTATTTCGCAATAACAGGAAAAAGACAACTCTTGCTGTCAAAATGAGTGGCAAATTACCATTCAAAAGCATGTTTCTAGAACTCTAGTGAATGCAAGGTTACTTTTAGCTGGTTAACTCTATGAACAGAGCAACATGGTGGGCTAGACGCCATTTGCGGTTCCAGGCACAGCACTGGGTTCATGTAGATTTTTACAGATGAGGCAGGGTTTGAGTTCCACCACCGCGATGGCTGAATCAGAGTCAGTAGGTTTCCAGACGAGTTACTGCATGAGGATTGTGTCACACTACAGTGACTTGTGGCCGTGGCAGTATCTGTGTATGGGCCGGTTTCCACTCTGGAGCCAAAACACTATTGGTGGCAATTGACGGAAACCTCAACCAGATAAAATACAGGGACATTTTAGAGAATACTTGCTTGCAATTTGCAAGAAGGTACTTCCAGGACAACTTCATCCTGCAAAATGACAATGCCCGTCCACACCATGCCCATGCAATAACTGCTTTTCTACGAAACCAAGAGGTAAACCAGTTGCCTTGGCCGACGAAATTCCCCTGACATGAATTCTATAGAAAACCTGTGGGCATATCGCTAGCAGAATCAAGAGCTTACCCGTCCACCCTACAAATCTGCACAAGCTTAGGCAAGCTCTGACTAATGTGTATAACACAATGCTGGATCATACTCTCAGAAACCTCTCTGCATGGAATGAGGGCTCTGGTTGCAGCTAGAAGAGGCTGCACGCGTTGTTATCAGTTTCCATTTTTCACATTTGTCTTGATGATTCTTTTGTGTGAGAGAAAATCTTTACCAACTGATATTCTTGATAATATCGAGTTCATAAGAATTTAATACCTCGTTGTTATCAGCTATAAAATTATCCATGCGCTGTTTATAACGCTGATTTGAATACGTATTTAAATTAAATTTTTAATGATGTATTCACATGGGTTGATTTATTAAAGCCATATGGAACACGATAACAAGTGTTTTTTTAATCCATTACTAATATATGGGAAAAAATCAAAGAAAATATGTTTGAAAAAAATCCATTTTAAATGTGAAGTCTGTACATTGCATCACATGAATTACTTGATTCAGCAAATCCCTCCATTGCATTAATAAGGTAATTTTTTTTAAAACTAGGTAAAAGGGGCAGTTGTGTGATCCAATATGTTTACATCCCAATGGCAGCGCAGTATTTAATTGCAAAATTCAATTCAGATTCGAATAATTGCTACAGTGTGACAGTGTAGCACTCATTGCTGATTTGATTATAGTGAAAATGTCTTCACTTTCCCTAACGCTGAAAACATGGGTGTGGGCACTTCGTATGTCATGTTTGCTTGCCTAGTTAACGTAAAAGCAGTTCTGAAGGCAGATTCTAACTATCAGCAGATTGACTTGTGTTTGACAGGTACAGGGAAGAAACAATAAATGATGCTACTCGGACACGATTCACAAAGTCAGTGCTACCCATAAGACAAGACATCTGATTTATCACATTCCCTGACCCTGAGAACATAGGTGTAGACACTTCATTTGTCATGTTTGCTTGCCTAGTTACAGAGATACAGAAGTAAAACGGTTTTTCAGTAATGGCGATCCTAATTTGCATATTTAGGAAAATTGCATAAATCTAATTCTAACAGAAACATCTTAATAATGTTCCTCGACCCTGAAAATATAGGTAAAGACACTTCATTTGTCATATTTGCCTGTCTAGTTCCAGAGATATTGCAGAAAATAGGAAATCTGGCGGCCATTTTGTTTTTTTTGCAAATTAGACCATTAAAAACGCAAAATTTCGCTTGGGAACCGGGTAAATCGGATTCAGCATCCCAAAATTATGCTAATAAGCCTGGTTCCCATCTTTTACCCCAAAATGCCCCTACTATTCATCTTTTGTAGAAATCCCACTAAACTAACAAGGCTGCCACTTGGCAGTGACACAGACTTTAAATGCTGATGTCTGTAGAGAGTGGTTAAAACTGTACGGAGATTGCTTTGACCTTTTGCTGGGAACATTGGTTACATATATAGACTATCTGATCAAATGGCTTATACATGAGATGGTCATAGATGAGATTATATAGTATAGTACACGGGTGGTTGACTTTGGTCAGAAATATGGATGGGTTCATATAAATTGCAGGAACCATGATTATAACTGCATTTTGCTTGAAGACCCACTTACACATTTCATCTCAAGTCTTGGCAATATAAAATGACTTAAAATATTTACTTCTGATATTCACTTTTCTTGACAGTTTATGTGGGATAACTATAAATAGAGTTCAGGCATAGCCCACCTCATCCAACTCTCTCTGCATCTGAGCTCTTTTCTTTCTGAATTCTTTAACCATTTTCAGTTCTTTCTGGAGTACTTCAATATCCTTATTTTTCTTCTCTAGTTTATCTTCCAAATCCTTGATCTGTTCATTGCAGTCATCAATCTGGAAGAGATATGTTGGAATTTAAGAATAATTTTGTACATTTCTTTCACCGTTATGGCAAGCACTTGCAGATTGTATATATATATATATATATATAGCAAAGACATTAGACATTTAAACAGCAAAATAACCCTTAAGTATTTCTAGGTGAAATTGCTAACTACAATTTTAATGCCAAGGGCTCAAACAAAACTTATAATTAATGCAATCAAAAACTTACAATTGTTTCCTTTTCTTTTCTGTGTTCTGTCTTTAGATCCTTGATTTGCCTTTGCAGTTTTTCAATCTATAAAAGAGAAATTAAAACAACAGATAATAATATGCCTTACAGCAATTTCCATAAATTGTGGTTTTACAAGTTTCTTTATGACTGGTTATTACCTTTATCATGACTTGATGCTGATATTAAGCTTTCCCATTTCATTTGTAAGTTTTTTATTTATATATTATTATTAATTATTATTAACTTTATCACAGAAATCAACAAAACACTGAGTTGTTCCTTTAATTTACCACAAAGTCATAACTCGCGTTAGCCATGTATTGTACTTACACCTTCATCTTTCTCCTGATCTTTAGTTTTAAGGAAAGAGATCACTTCTATTGTGTCCTTCTCCGTCTGATGCATAGCACTCTGGAGGTCCTGGTTCTGTTCCGCCAGTCTCCGGGCATTCTCTCTGGAAAACATTGACAGGGTGGATTTAGTACTCATAACTGTGTCAAACTTTTCAATAATTATCATTTCAGTAAGTACACCCCAAGTGTGCAATATCTGTGCACAGGTTTTGAACAGAACTCATCTCATGAAATTCTTGTTTCTATGGTATCTTGATACAGTGTTCCTACAGATGAAAACACTTTATAATCATGTAGAGTGTATCTTTAATTGAAAAAAGAACAAATTGATCAGATTAAGTGCAAACTTAACTTACCTGTATTCCTGCCTGGAAGCTTCTAGCACATTCAGTTTGGTTTCCCATACTTTGGCACTGGCTGTTGCTATGGCAACCTTACTCTCAGCCTTCTTGGACTTCTTTCCCTTCTTCCTGTAAACAATTAAAAAGGCAGTTGAAATTTTACTGATATAGAACTCTGCTACATCCTGTACAACTCAGGTAATTTGTAACCTGAGATGATTGTTGCTGTACCACATTGGCAGATCAGGAGGGAGATCCCCACCCCCCTCTTTTCCCTATCACTGTAAGTGGCATTTAGGTATACATCTTGCCTATAAATTATGATTAATGAAAATCAGAGTATGTGTATAAAAAATTATCTGAAAATATTTATTAAGAATATTAAAAAAAAAAAAAACAGTGTTCAAACAATTCCAACCACTGGCTTGCTAATGACTGTGAAAACATAAATACAAAAACCTGGATATCTAATTTAAAGAAAGATATTTTATTTGTTCTTCTGCATTTCAAAATATTACAAATCCAAGAGTTGACAACCAGAGCATTATTTTAAATTGAAGTTAAAACATATAAGATGCTTTACTGAAGATATTATGTGATATTAAATATATTTAATGAATCAGTGAGTGACTAAGCCCATTTTCGGTTATTTCCACTATACTGCTATGCCCTTAATGTAGTCAGGGCTTTATTCCCAAATTCATAACATGTTTGTACTTATTCATTGTAGTAATGCATAAGATGACTGGTGTCTCTTCATAGTTTAGTATATTTCTCATTTAAAATTTAAATGTGTTAATTGTATAAATTACTGAATGGAAACAAATATATCATTCAACATAAAATAACACCATATTAAAGTTCTTTTGAATTGATCTTGGATCTGTTACAATCTCACTAACATAGATTTCTTAAAATGAAAAATATATGTTTATGTATAGATAATGAGGGAGGCAAATACATGTATCTCATTCTTTTAAATTAATATTTATATAACGCTTTAATACTAGATACTAGTAGTATCTAGTTTCTCATGGATATGTTGAGCTACCGTGTATTTTATCAAGTTCTAACATTGTGTACTGCATTTTATGGGTTAAATTCAGAGAAATTCTAACTTCCTGAATCTATCATCCTCAATAGTTCATTTCACAAATGTATCCCCTGGTTCTATGACATTCCACGTCATTCCAGTAGAAATCTTCATCATGATCTAGTAGCACACAGTCTTCTTCATTTCCAGACTTCCTGCCATTATCTGGGTTTTTGGAGTCCCACTTGGTGTACTCCAGTCTCTTACCAGTGGACATCCACATAAATCTTCCTTCCCTCCCAACATCATGTGCCGAAGTCCAAAAGTCCCTCCTTCTCAAATCTGTAAAACAATGAGGATTAATATTGAATAAACTTTAATATTTTCCACTAATCTGGAAAAGATTGATCAATATGTGCAGTAATAAATATCAAAACTATTATTTTTTAAGGCAATAATTTTTATATCATCTTTCATAAGATTGGAGGGTTTTAATTTCTTGCCATATTCTAAATATCACATGAAATTGTCTCAGAATAGTCACATATGGAAACTCACTACTGTCTTGTTCTATTGTTGTCCTTAAAAAGTCATTTTCTGCTTTTGTTTCTATGGCAACAAGTCTTGCACCATACTCTCCACACTCTCTGTCTGCTTCATTCCAAGCTTTCTCTGGCAAGCCAACAAATTTGTAGCAAGACTTCAAAGCTTTGTTATCGATGAACCCTCCAGGACATGTAAATGCTGAGTATCAGAAATATGAATTACAATCAATCAGAAAATGATTTAAGATGTTCAAATCACAAAAACAGAATTCTTTTTCTTTCTTTTTGTGCAAATGCATATTTGAAACAATCTTACGAAAGAAAAATGAAATTTTATTTTTTATTTTTTTCATTAATAAATAAAATTATTTGCCATTTTCAAAAAAGAAAAAAAAAAGAAAAAAAAAGGATAAAGAAATCCTACCTGTCACTCCCTGGGATAGGTTTTTGGCAGCATTCACCTTGCACTGGGAAAGCTCAGTGATCACAAGATTATACTTCTCCGCGACCAGCTGCATGGCGGTCTGCAGGTTGGTCAGGGTGGTCTGAAGGAACTTGTTTTTACTTTCCATGGCTTGACAATCACACGGAGTGGAACCACCCACCAGGTTATTGACTAAAGATCCCGAGGGAGTAAGAGAGTGTAAGAGGCAGGAGTAGTGCAAAAATGGTGAACAAAAGAAGTGCCATCTTTCTCTCAAGCCCACTGAACTTTGTTCATGTTCTGTAAGGGCCTTGACTGTATCAGTGTAATTAAGCTCCTATCTGTGGGCAAACAGATGACTTTGTTTACATTCATTAACTGTGACCTCATCTCAAGGTATCAGGGTATCATATCTACAGGAATTACAACCCACCATATTTACTCATTCCAAATGATTAAAACTATAAGGGGGATATTTTTTTAAAAAACATATAAAATGAAAAAATTTAAAAAGCCACTGCTGTCATGATTTAAAATAATTTTTGAGCAATAATTAGAAATAGAATAATTTTAGTCATAAATGCTTTTTCTTTTGCATGTAGACTTAAATATTTACTGAGAGATAATATATTTTTGAAGTCAACATAATAGAATTATGATAATCTAAGATAAGATTAGAATTATCTATAATCTCATCATCTGAAGATATTAATCAAAAGAAATGGAAATCTACAATGACTTTAAATTTCATATAAATAGGGCACTTAAAATAAAATAATTTTAAAGCCATCTCATGTAAGCCAAAGCAGTGGCTAAAGGATGCAGCATTATAGGTGAACTGAAACACCTAAACCAAGGGACTTCTGATAGCAAAATGTAAGGGTCATTTTTTGATGATTTCAAATAAGAACATTTTGTGAAGATCAAAAAAGTTTTACATACTGAAATGACTATGGCATACATATAAAAAAATTTATTCATGAATTCATCAAATACTTTTTCATGGCCACTTATAGATTATAACATAATAGTTACTTCAATAAACTGAACTCTATCAGTTAAAATAAATCCCTTCATGATATTGACCTTGGTTCTTTCACATAAAACTGGACTATAAAAAAATAGCACTGATAACAAATTAGTAACAACTATAATTTAATCAAACACCTTATAAAGTGCACTGGTTACTATTTGGGAGTGCAAGGGCTTAAGCTTAAAATAATCACGTGAAATGTCTTAAACTGTCACAAAGTGAACAGAAAAAAAAAACAATTATTATAAAATTATAGAATGCAATACATGCAATTGTCATATGTGCTCTTGGAATGTGTATGTACACTAATATGCTTCATTACTTACATGTTTTCCTCTTGTGTATTACTACCACATAAAACCATATTACACATCAAAATATTAAATTCAAATCTGATATGGCATTTGACCCAATCATACAATACTTGCAATCATTATTCATGTGAAAAATGATTGTTAGTAAAAGTTTTCTTACATCTTGATATAAAAAAAATTATGCTATCAATCTATAGCAAAAATGTGATGGACTTTTTAACTTCCTACAGCATTTTTCATAACTTATTACCATTATTATTATTATTATTAATCTATTTATTTATTTATTTATGTTTTGACAATGCTTTTTTAAAGGTAAGTTTGTGGAAGCTGGGCCTGGGGAATATTTTACAGATATACAATCATCCCTAAAGGCCATGGCACTGGCTTGAACACGAATACTGGAAAACAATGGCACGTCAGTTTACAATTACCAATCACACTCTTTTACTAAAAACAAGATGTTCTAGCATAAAACACGTTCTAGTATAATCCTTGTGTGTCACTTTCACTCAGTGTCATATTGGATCATTTGCAGATAATTTCTCTTGCTCACGCTCTCTCTCTCTCTCTCTCTCTCTCTCTTTCGAATTCTATACGTCATAGTTCACTTACCCCTTCTTCCCCTTCCCTTTCCCCTTTCCTCCTTTCTTTGCTTTCTTGGGCATGCTTGTTGATTATATCATACTTATATCATATATTATAAAAATTCCCGAAAAAGATTGTAAAATCAGGTGAAACGAGAAGCAGTTGTGCTTCCCTTGTTGCTATCGTGACCGACTAAACGATAGATGGCCACTCAAGATGAGCCCATTTCAGTGGCAGCAGCTTGGCCCTCTTGTAGCGCCCTCTAGTGCGCGTCATTCACTTGCTGACCTCAATATATATTTACCTGACTTGGCCTACTTTAACTGCACAGAATTGTCCTGCAGTTGTGTGCTTTTGCCTAAAGAACAGACAAAAATTATTTAGAACAGACAAAAGAACCAAAACTGGCATTAACGTCATTAAAGTTGCAGCGGAGAATTCCAAACACGTCAGAAAGGAGTCTTATCTGTCTACGGGTATATACAGGTAGCTGTGTATGACATGCATGTAAAGAGTGGTTGTCCAGGTAATAACTATATAGGTATAATAACCAAGTTAAAAATATGACGAATTTATAGGTGTGTTTTAGAAAGTCTTTTAAATTAATATGCAGTAACTGTTTGGTATGGGCGTGCAACTGTAGAGGATAAAAACCAACTAGAAAAATTGTTGAAATGTCAATTAAATAATGTACAGTAATTGGAACGGATCTCACCCCATGCATTCCACTTAACTCGACTGGGTTAAAAATAAAACAGCTTCTGCCATGACTGATACTACTCATCCAGCTCATACCTTATTCAAATTTTTACTCAGTAACTTGAGGCTTATAGTTTTAGGTATTAAGCGATTTTTATCTAGCTTTTATTCTTGAGCAGTAACTCTTTTTAACACAAATACTTAATTTCATTTTAGTACATTTAAATAGTTTTATTTAACAATGGTGCTATTACAGGGCAAAAGATTCCCGATTTTATACGTTTATATTTTATTGGTTTAATAAAATTATGATTATCTATCATATTTATCAATAATTAATAAAATGAATTGATGCTCATATAAAATTAAGATAATATGCAAAATATTTGAACATACCAATTGGAGAGTAGGGGAATTTGCCAGTTAATTTGTTATTTATTTATTTATTTATTTATTTATTTATTTATTTATTTATTAATTTATTTATTTATTTATTTAATTGATAAATGCATGAATTTGGTCAGTATACTGGCCATTTGGTCAGTATACTGTGGACTTGGTCTAGTCAGGGCCAGTTGGTAAAATCCCATGCAAAGAGTCTAATAACTTTTGTACCTTGGTCTATGGATATTTAAAAATGGGAGTGATCGAGCTGTCCAATATTTCTGTGGTAACTACAGGAATACATTTCATTTCCGGGAATCTAATATTTAAAAGTACTCCATCGGACTACTTAAAAAAACATACACACTTCTGCCTTTCTTAAATATTGGAATCGGAGCATGTTATATATCATTAGTAAATGCTATTATGTTTTACAGGTCAGCATTCGGGTAGGACGTCACAATAATATTGGAGGGAAATGTACACTGTAAAAATTCGTCCCCAAAACATCATGAGAGAGGAACATAGGAGCCGAATGTATGGCTTTTCTGCCGTTGTGATAGTTATATTATTTATTTTGTTCACAACCACATATTTCTCACGACCAGCTAGCCAAAAATTTGGACTGTTTAAATTCTATACACCAAATAAAGACAATGAATTTGCAGCCATTATATTTGATGCGGGAAGCACAGGAAGCAGACTTCATGTATATCACTTTGCCAAAGGAGGAAGTCCTGGTAAGTAACATTGATTACATCATGA